CGCTAGCTTGTCGTGGTTTCATTCAAAAAAATCCGCGTGCCGCCTTCCATGTATTTATTTCACAGACGTTGAGATTTCAACGTTTTCAGACGTTTACATAACGGTTAAGTTAGCTACACGTTATTGTGTTGAACGTTAGCTTGTAACGTTAGAGAAAGCGCTAGAATCGGGCAACGTTATCGCAGGGTAACAGGCGGTGCAGTAAAACTGTAGACTAAACCAAACTGCGTCAAAATAAGTAACTGTAAGAAACCGTGACTGTAGCCACACAACGTTAGTTAATTTAACGTCAAATTGGGTAAGTGCTAACAAGTGCTAACAACGGCTAACAACGCTGTGTTAGCGTATCCGATGACTGTGTTAAGTTAGCAGGCAGTAGGATGACGGGGAATGTGCTAACCATCCCGCCTTGTTTTGTTTAACTTAGAAAAATCGCAACCACGGCGGACTCAATGGCACAGTGTATTCCGGTGGTGACCTTCAAGGTAAGCGTTTTCTCTTTAATGTCATTTAGCTGCTCTTTGTCATCTGTCTTGCAAGCACAGAAAATGGTATTTGTGAAATTAAGGCTAGCTGTGCTAACGGTTAGTGTGTCGAACCAGTACCAACCAGTCTAAACTAACTGCTGTCTCTTGCTTACAGTTGGTGTTGGTAGGAGATGGAGGCACCGGAAAAACAACTTTTGTGAAGAGGCACATTACAGGAGAGTTTGAGAAGAAATATGTTGGTGAGTAGCTGTTAGCTCCATGTTGTCAGGTGAATGACACATCAGTATATTAGAGATAATGAGCTAAAAACGTTGTACTGGCTTGAAATCCCAACTCTGGTGCTTCACCAGCAGCAGCAAACCATGAGGCTAACTTACACATCCATTAGCAGGGCCAGATTAAACGTGAGCTGTGAGCCCCTTTAGACCCCCCATGTAGTCTGAAATATCTGTACTGATGTAATGTTACATATCAGATCATAAGTAATAACTTTTTGTACAGAAATAACAAACTAGGTTTTAGGGCATGTAGAAACAGTGTCACCTTTACAGTTTGTCCACCAGAGAGCACTGACAAGTCAGCTTTTCAGTTTTTTCAAGCATGTGTCCTGATTCACAACAATAAGGAAGAAAATATAGTTTGGAGAAATCTGCATCTTGTTTGTTTACAAAGTTGTTGTGGTGACAAATCCTTATCATTTTTTGAAACTCCAAAATACCTATATTATTTGGGTTATCGCCACTTCAAAGTTTTGTCTTCTAGTGATTCTCAACCAGGATTCCTTGAGGGAGTTTCAGGGGGAAAAATGTGGTATAGTACTCTCATAAGTATTCATATACGCCATGTAATTCACAATGGAAGTTATCCCCAATGTGAGTAAGAGTCACAAGTGTTGACTATTAACACAGGTTTTTTGTCCACCGCAGTTACCACCTCAACTGTAGTTGACAACTGTAGAATTCAGGGCGTAAACATTGAATCACCAAAATTTTTATAGAGCAACATCCCACAAGCGCAATTTTTATCAAATAGGGGTCTGTGACCTAATGTTTATCAGTTAAGGGGTTCTTGACACTGACAGGGTTTGAGAACCACTGATGTAGCTCCTATTTTGGAGGTGAATATCAAATCTGGGAAGTCAGTGTAGAGGATCATGTACTTTCTTCAGACTGTAATTTTAATGGTGCATGTGCTAATAATATGGTAATCTTATCACCCCCCCCCCCCACATACACACACATACAAAGAATAGTGTTGATCATATTTTCCACCTTTCTTGCTCTTATACATCTCGTCTTTGCTTGTGATTCTAGCCACCCTGGGAGTAGAGGTGCACCCGCTGATGTTCCACACCAACAGAGGACCTATCAGGTACAATGTGTGGGACACAGCTGGTCAGGAGAAGTTTGGAGGCCTGAGAGACGGCTACTATATTCAAGGTGCTCTTCACAAACCTTATCATGGTGTTCTGTTATTAAAGCTGGACCAGTCAGCTCAGTCATTGTAGATTTGAATTAAACTGTCCCATGTTGAATTGTGTGTTAAAACTTCCTTTCTGCCTCCACAGCTCAGTGTGCTATCATCATGTTTGATGTTACCTCTCGAGTCACCTATAAGAACGTGCCCAACTGGCATCGTGACCTGGTCCGTGTCTGTGAGAACATTCCCATCGTCCTCTGCGGCAACAAGGTGGACATCAAAGACAGGAAAGTCAAAGCCAAGAGCATTGTGTTTCACCGCAAGAAGAACCTGCAGGTAATAACTGTGCTCACAAGATGATCGTGTGTCACAGCAGTCTCATTTGTGAATAATAAAAAGCATTGGTTTGAGTTGTTTGGTCTGAACTATCTTTTCTAACTGCCATAAACTGCTCTGTCCTCAGTACTACGACATTTCTGCCAAGAGTAACTACAACTTTGAGAAACCTTTCCTGTGGCTAGCAAGGAAGTTGATCGGTGATCCCAACCTGGAATTTGTGGCAATGCCTGCTCTCGCTCCCCCAGAGGTCCAGATGGACCCCACCCTTGCTGCGAAGTACGAGGAAGAGCTTCAAGTAAGTATGACCATACAGGTGCAATGTTTGGTTTTTGGTGACTGTGTAGTTGTACCTGAGCTAAAAGTCTACATTGGGAGACTGGAAATGCATCCATCTTGTCTCCTTCCATCCAGGTTGCATCACAAACAGCACTCCCAGATGAAGAAGATGACCTCTAACCTGTTACCTGGATTTTCCCCTCTCTCTCTCTCACCCCCAATTGTGGACAGGAAGTTGTTGGAGTTTTGCCCCCCCCCCCCTGTAAAATCCCTTTTCAGATTTTTTATTTTCGAATTTTTTTGTTTGTTTTAAAACTAAAGAAAAAAAAAACTTGGTGGAAAAAGTTGTGGTTCTAATTTCACTGTATGAGACACACCCGCCCTAGTGTTGTTGTTGGCATGGCAACATGCTACTCTTCATCATCGAGCACCCTCCACTGCACTTGCCCAGCTCACATAATGCTGTTGTACGGTGTACTGGAAACACTAAGGGGAGTTAACTTTGAATAAAAACATTCTCAATATAACATGTCTGTTTTTTTTATTATACTGGTAATAAATGTAAAGATGACTGTTGTATTCAATTGTCTCGTTAAGCTATGACAGTGAGCTAGCAAGCACAATACCAGAACCCTGAAACTGAAGCAGTTAAATTAAGGAGTATTATATTTACATCTGTGATTTCCCTGCTGTATCCATATGTAAAAGTTTGCCATGCAGTGGGCATTGATTTGCAACATTGCCTAAAGTGGGGTACAGTTCAATTGTAATAAAGTTGAGGGTAATATACCTGTGCAAACAGTGGAGAAAGTTACTGATGGTATATATCACATCACCAAACCCTTACACAAATTGTAGTCAACTCTTATTTTGGGCCAAATCTGATGTTTTAAAGCCATGGCAAATTACACCCTGCAAGGACAATGTGGTTCTTAAATTTTGTTGAACTCACCCTTAAACATAAGATTATTGTATTATGCATCACTGGGATTCAGATCAGATAAAAGCACGTGTCCCGGGGCCCCAAAATGTCCGATGTTTAAAGTGTGTCGGTGAGTTTTGTTAAGTACAATATCAACAAAGCAAGTCATGCATTGACGGATGGATGGAGATTGGGGAGGACCGGATGTGCACGTACACAATCACAGAAGCCTGCTGAGCACATCCATGGCCACCAGGTGTCAGCCGTGTTCTTTGGAGCACAGTGGAGGATTTCAACAGGATTACGTAATAGCTTTACTCCGCAAGTTCATTGTGACGTGTGCCTTCCACCCGGCCGTTACTACAGATCGGGGCTAGGATCTACAATGCGCCTACGTCATACATCCTCGAGGCTGCACAAAGTGTTGCACACATTTAACTGACATTGTTTCAGCTATTAGACATAGTGTGGACAGTTTAACATCAGCAGCCTGTTCCCATTCAGGTACAAGCTGCAATAAAATGTTTCATTGTGGACTCAACTGAGAGCAAGGACCCCTCATTACAGCATACAGACATTTAAAAGGATACTTGTCACATGCACAATTTAATTTGCTCAAGTTTTTTGCAAAGCACTGCCTATCCTGGCCTGCTACTATGACCCTGTGCGCTGCATTCAAATTACATTACCAAACCGGAAGTTCGACTTTATTTCATGACCATAATGCTTTCTTTAGATTTTTAACACAGATTGGGGTCTTGAGGTCGAATATGAAACTGCAGTAGTTTGTCGTTGCTACATTTACAAGCCTGCATACAACAAGAGAAGACAATGTGCCTATGTATTTGTGCTGTTGTGCACAAAAATTGTGTGAGATTATTTTGTCCATGGTCAAGGGTGACCTTTCAGTCACAAGTCTTAAACCACATCCATATCATGGATGTAAAATCTTTAGAGTACAACAATTCCAATTCCATAACAACTGCACAACTCATCTGTTGAGGTTGAAGACAGTTTGATGTGATCCACAGCTGCAGAGCAGTTAGAGTGAGATTGTCTACTTGGTGCATGAGTTTGGTGTTCACTGGTGTGGTACCTTTATTAGTTATAAGGGACAAAAAAATAAAAAAGACTTTGAATATTTTAGATTAATTTGGTTTGATTTAAGCTTTAATGAATGGACTTCAATGTATTTAACACACCCAGATGAGTTGTAGAAAGTTTGCACTCTGCTTTTGTATGATTGCTGTTGTTTGTTGTAAATAAAAACAGTTAAACTAGACGTTCAGGGAAAGCAGTGTATTAATGTGCACCAAAAGATTATTCTAAAGATCTGATTTTCAAATCAGCATGTCAATGTGCCAGATTAAGTGGCATTTTCATGTTTTTCCTGTGCAGGCTGAGTTAAAGGTCTTTTAAGTAGTGAAGTAGGTAGCAACCTTTATCATTCCCACAACACCTGAATGCATCACTAGTGCAGGTGGCTCAGGGCGTGGCTTCATCTCAGAGGACACGGACTCGTCTGCGCATGCGCCGAGCCAGAAAAGTGCGTTTTAGAATGATTACTGGTGGCCAGCGGAGAGACAGATTATACGGCTCTACACAACTGTTGTTTTAATCCCCTGGGCGAGGAGATTTAGCAAAGAAAAAACACAGGTTTTAAACCCAGCAGCCATATTGTATGGAAAAACGACGGAAAGACTCCTCTTATCAGAAAAAGTCGTGTTCTCCCACACCTCTGTCAGGACTTTTGGGGAGTTTAATTGTTTTTCTTACTGGCGGTGGGTTTGTGTCGGACAGCTAGCTTGCCAGCTGGCTGAGGAATTCAGACATTTGGACTAGTTTTGAGCCATTTTACACAATATTGTGGTTGTGTCTTTGGGTTAAAGGTGTTGAATTAACCGTCTGAAAGATGAAGGACCGATTGGAGCAACTTAAAGCGGTGAGTAATGTCCAGGAAATGTCAAGTTTCCTTACAGTGTCTTTTTTCTTTCAGTGTTTTCACTTTAATGCCCCCCTGTAAAACGTTTCTCATATTAAGAATTTGGAGGTGAAGATTAATATTATTTTACTACTTTTATTTTAACTAAAACACCTGACACATAACATGCTTATCATTTGAACCACTACAGCACCATGTGATGACATAACTCATCTGGTGGGTGTAGTAACACTGCAGGTGGAAAGTGATTTAAATCGTTCAGTCACACAGATATCTTTTTTTTTAATACATGCTGCCATGTTGTGTGATAATGTCAGAGATGTTTTGTAATTAGTGTAATTGTTATTAGTTGATATGTATCACCAGATGTTCTTTTAAAAGTAGTATATTTAAATTGGTGGTCCTGATTCCTACAATGGGATGTTGACCTGTGTATATTAAAAACTAATACACTTCCTCAGCCTTTGCATTGGGCAGTCTCAGCTGAAATTGGCAACAGATGAATCACTCATTTTCAGTGTTTTAACAGTTGCCATTAAAGCTAAAAACACTGAATGACTATTAGAGTTGTTGATCAGTGGAAAATTAATCAAAGATTTTCAAGTAATTTTTCATGCAAAAATGTCAAAACGGCTGCTTTAATGTGTTTTATACCAATGCTAATTGTAAATCTTTGGGTTTTGGGCTGGTTGACAAACAAAAACAAGCAATTTTCAGATGTCACCTTGGACATCCTGGGAGATTTTTATGAGTATCTTGAAGTATTTTATAAAATTTCATCAATTAAGTGATTGATCTACAATAAAATCATTGCACCTGCAGTCCAAGTACTGCTAAAAAACATGTTAAGCCATCAAAAATATATTATTTATGGTGCGTAGAGAGTTGTCAAATGCATACAAGAGCTACAGTTGGGATGGACTGAACCAAAATGATCAATACCCTTTTATATTTAGCCATCACAACCACATTACAAATCTTATCCAGAAGCAGACATCCAATCTTAACAAACTTTTCTCCATTCAAGCCCAAGCTAATGACAGTGAACACACTTTCTTGCTGCCCATGGGGGTGAGGCCTCGATCCAGTTGTAACCCAAGTCGGGATGTGTTGCCATAGCTACGTGAAACTGCTGGCCAAATATTTGCTATGTTTCACATTGCAAGTGTGTCCCCCCCAGGCGTCCTGTAATCTCACACAGCTGGCTTCTTTTCAGGGAAAGGAAGTTCAGATAGCAAGTGAAGTGGGCGAGTCATTTGTTGGGAAGTTGACAGTGTCGACAGTATGTTAACACCTGTAAAACAAAGTGCAGGTTACCTCCACGATCTCACTAGTGTTTTTCCAATCTGTACTCCTCTTTCTTTATCTTCTTAATCTACATTCACCCACTGCCTTTATTTTCCTCTTCGAGTTTCCCATCTAATGTTTAACCTGCAGCAGTAATCTAGGCTGTATATTGGTGTGTGTGTGTGTGTGTGTGTGTGTGTGTGTGTGTGTGTGCGTGTGTGTGGGCATATGTTCATGTTAATGTGGCATCATGCCTTCACCGGTGTAATCACATCACCTGACAGACTGTAGACTTTGGAAAAGAGGAGCAACAAGAAACGCTGAATTGTAGTTTCACCTGGAGCAGTGGTCACATGTGATGGCTCACACTGCATGCTGTTAAAATACTTTGGATACAGTTGCTCAGTACGTTTAAAAAAATGCCAGTAAAGGTAATAAAGTAGCCATGTTTGCTAACTGGACGGAAGTCTTCTGTAATTCAAGCTCGCGGTTTCACTTCCTTCGTAGTATTTTCAAATGTTCTTTCAGTCAGAGTCATATCCTCCTCAGTTCTGTGTACGGTGTTTCCCCACACTGTACAACAGGCCTGTTGGGATACTGTTTCTTCACCACTTCCCCACCTGGCTCAGATATCAGCACAGTGAATGGAGAAAGCTGTAACTGAACTGACATGACTTCTTCTGTGGCACGTGGAGTTTTAAATCCCATGTCAGAGTTTAGCGTTGCATTAACACAAGTCCTGATGGAGTATTTTGGCTTCTGTCACCATGCTGCTGTAAATCTGACCCTAGGTCCCTGTCCTGCTGCTGTTGTGGCTCGTGGCTCATTTTCTAAATCATCCCGTGGGAAAATCCAGAGCACAGGGCTACAACTAACTGTTGTTTTTATTATTGATAAATCTGCAGAGTATTTTCAAGATTCATAGGTTGGTCTATAAAATGTGAAAAATAATGGAAAATATAAAATAACATCATAATTTCCCAAAGCCTTGCTTGTTTTGTCTAACCAACTCTCCAAAAATACATATTTACTGAAATTATACAACCAAGCAAATCCTCAGAGATGTTTGGCAGAGAGCAAGGTTGTGGGGAAAAATTAATTCTTAGATGCATTGTGATTCACTTTTAAAAGATTGTCTTGATGCAGACAAGTCAGCAATAGCAATTTTAAAACCCAATTCTGCACATTATGATTGCCTGAAACAATTTTGTTGGACCCTGCTGTAGCCTATGTTTCTCACGGCTCAACCATAGACTTTATGAAGTAATGGACATAACCACTGTGATGTCAACCATTGGTTTGTGGACTCCCTCTCTGAAGCCTCGACTGAAGGATTTTGTGCGATGCCATTTTGGATTTTTGAAGCCAGAAGTGACCATATTTTGGCAAGAGGGTGATAACCCAAATACTAGCTGCTACTTTGTTTAGGAAGGTTCATTTACAGCTATGATTAACTGTGATAATGCTATCGCTAATGCTAATTTTCGCCCGTGAATAACAGGCTAAAAACCATTAAAACAAAATGTGCTTTTTGGAAAAACTGAACATCTGACTCTGTAGACTGCTTTAGTTAAAACAAACACTGAACAAGACTTTTTTCGGCCAAAATGTACCATTAATTTCATTAACTGAAAACACACTGTAATAATGACAGCAACAGCTACACCTACACTTTGTGAATCCGGGGTTACGTCATGGTTATAGAGAGTTATAGAGACCTAAACCGTTTTTTTTGTACCAGGCTGTAAACATATTTATTTCTGCCGTAAAGTTGGGCATTGTAAGACAAAGGTCTTTGGGGATTGAGTGGCTTCTGGAGCCAGCCTCAAGTGGCTGTTTAAAGAACTACAGTTTTTGGCACTAAGCGTTTGCTTCATTTTTGCAGTGGAGCTGAGCCAACTGAATGATAAATCATAACAGATGTACACATGTGCCTCATGTTTACGCTCTAAGCTAAGCTACTTCTTAAGTCTTGGTGAGGATTACTGATCGTGAGCAACCGCAGACTAATATAATGTGATCTGAACTTCCTGGTTCTTGGAATGCTGGGAAATTTGTTAGTAGGGCTGCCCCCGACTGAGTATTTTCCTAGTCGACCAATAGTCATCATTTAGGGCCATTAGTCGACTAGTCGCCCACATGTTAATGATATTAATTTAATTATTAAACTATATATTTTGGGCGGGGCAACACAGTGGTTTGAGTTGAAGGTGTGAGAAAGAATAGTATTGGTAACATTGTTAACACTGTGCTACATTACAGAGAAATACAAAACCGTACTAATGAGCCTTCATTAATATAGGCCTATACTTTATCTACAAGTGCACGTCACACACTGAGCGAGCCGCCTGTTAATGACGCTGTCGGCAAAGCAGTAATGATTGTGCTAAGTGGCTAATGGGCATGTAGCTACTGACATGTTTCAGATGATACATCATGTTTGTAGTTGACGAATGATAGACAAATGTTTGCCTGCAGAGTTTACATATCACCTTGGGTTCGTCCTTCACCTTCTCAAAAATGAACCCACACTTTGGATTTCCTGTCTGACATGTTATTAACTAGCCTGTGGAATAACCGCAGGTACCAGCCCTGTAAATTAACATGACTCCTAATGACTGCTGAGCGTGGCCACTTCCTGTGTCTGTCCTTTTAAATTAAATTCCCACATGGTCCAGTCATATAGGTTTTGATTTATTTTGACAAGGTGCAGCTCCTTACAGCATTTCACTTTTTTTTCTGTGACTAAGCGACCAATGAAACATGCCTAATGACCTCTCTGGTCGACTAACGTTTGGTTGAGGGGCAGCCCTATATGTTAGCACACGTAATCCTCCACTTGGCACATCTCTTCTATTTGCAACTATTGTGTTAATAAAAGATATTGTAAAGAACTTCATCAGTTTATTTTATTTATGAATCAGTACAAATATGATTTGTTATAAAAGTAGTGAGTAGTCACACAGTGAGAAAAAATAAATCATGTAAAAATCAGAAATTTAGATGCATCAAGATGCATTGATAACCACTTTATAATTGCATCTTTGCCGTTTGAAACGAACTGACACTCTGAAAAGATTGTTTTTTGTTTGTTTTAAAAAAATAAATGACCAGCTCATTATTTTCTAACGATAAAAAAATAATTGACTAAATGTTACAGCTCTCTATTCTGCGAAGGTTTAGCCTTTACACCCTTGACTCTTTCAACTGTCCTCTTTCTCAACCCCCAAGCAAAGTGTGTTGTCCAAGAGTGTTTCGTCATTTATGATCCTCAGAGGCAAAGTCTGACGGTTAATCACCTCCCAGTTTCTTTAAGACGACGGAGTGCTTTATTGATATAGCCTTGGGTTTACCCTAACTTTCCAAACAGACCAGAACAACACAGTCTTCAATTTAGGCTCCTGTGGATCTGTGTGCTCAGAGAGCCAGTCGGTTTGTTATGTTGGCGCGGCAGTGGATCACTACGTCTGCTACAGTGTAAAACCTCTGTCTAGTCATTGCCTTATTGAGGCGAGTTATGCAACAACATGACATATGGTGCTTTGTATGCAGAATAAATGTAATTAAGTGATTTGAATAAAAGGAACAAGCCAGCATCCAGGCTAACGTATCAGTCATTCATGCACCGATGTGCAGTGTGTGCTCTATTTTTCTTATTCTTTTATTTCATGATTACACAATCTTCATGTAACTAAGCATGAGATTATAGCATT